GTATGAACAAACGATTTGTCAGTTTACAAGCTGTGATATTAATTCACGAGTTAAAAAATCAAAAACCTAACTATTTGCTTATTTATTTTAAAGTTTTCCAAATCAGTTTACAAGCCGAGAGTACCTTAAATTCCAAATTATCAATTTCAATTTAATGCACAAGGTAGGGCTTAAGCCCATAAATACAAAAAACCCACATGATCTGATACTTTTTTGATTGGTTAACTCATCTTTATACTTTCATAACAAAAAAAGTTGCATCAGCGGCAGATATTGCTATGTAACAATCATGACAGTACTGATAAATTCTCTCCTGTTTAGAATAGAAAAAAGATGCAGTAGACACCATAATTATGATGCTACAATTTAAAAGCCATCCAATAAAGTACTTGAAGCTTAGTGAATTTTATAAAATGTACTTGTGATAAAAAATACATGTGGAAAAGAATCAGGCATCAGCATTTTATTATTTATGATACATTTTATTTATCATCAACAAAATTCCAATATTTCTGTAATACAGCAAAGTCAAATAAAAGAAATACCGGTAGCAATTTTCCTTTCCACTTTAATTTCTATTTACCATTATATTTCTGTAATACAGCAAAGAAAAAATTAACACTTGTACAAACCTTATTCAGAAAGCAGGGTAATAAAATAATTAGAAAGGTATTTATCCTTATGAATATATGGACTCGTTTAAAAGATTTAAAGAAACAAAATTACCATCAATAGATAAATTTTACTCTAACTTGACAAAGGAAAGCATAAGTTGGTCAGAGTATGATCATGCTCAAAAAGTATGAAAATATTTTAAAATAAAAAATCTGGGTGAATGGCATGATTTATATTTAAAATTAGATGTTTTATTATTAATTGATGTATTCGAGAATTTCAGAGATTTATGCCTAGAAAAATCTTACGGATTAGATTCTGTTTGGTATTATACGACGCCAGCATTAGCCTGGGATTGTATGCTAAAGTATACTAAAGTTAATTTGGAATTATTAACGGATTATGAGAAGTACATGTTCTTTGAGAAAGGAATAAGAGGTGGAATACGTTATTTCAATGCAGTAATAGGTATTCAATATCAAAACCAGAAATAGAAATTAATGGTGAAAAAATATCTGGCACTGACAAAGTCGGTTTTGCTGACGCTGACTCTACTCAAATTCATTATATTGATTGTATACTAAAATTCAGGAGGGTAGACCGGTGCGTCATCAATTTCATTTTTTCATTACCAACTTAAAAGTGAAATAAAAAATTCTATCACAATGTAAATTGAAACAATTAAACGGTCTCTAAGGATGGTAGCCTTGAACATTAATTTACATATGCACTTCAACTGCACCACTTAAATGTCATGTTCGAGTGAATTTGTCAATTTGAGATTGACAGTAACATTATTGTCGTCGTTGAAAGTCTTTTTGGTATAATTTGCAAGTATTTTTCGTTTATTGGTTGATTTCTTGCCTCTGTTCTACGTCTCGTTGCTTTCTTTTAATAATTCCTTACGATGAAGTAACTTCCATGAAAGTAGGCATAAATGCACTTGTGTTAGTGTAAAAAAATTGAAATAATGAGGGGTCACCGATAAAAATTGGCCCTATCATCGTTTATTTATTCTACAAAAAATGAGGCCAATCTTATAAAAAACCATTTAAATGCTGTTTTAATACTTTACATATTGTGTCTGCTATGGCGCAAACCAGTTCTCTTTAAATAAAATTGGGATTATTTGAGATATTTGAGGTAAATATGAGCGTTGTTTAAGAAGTCTATTATTTAATGAAGTAATTAACAATACAAACTGAAATCGACGCTTTATTTTGACTCTCACATAAATAAGTAACTTTCTGGTTTTCATCAGAATAAAAGCTTCTTAACGTTTATTGTTTGTTTCCGAAGGATGTAAGATGCAACTTTGTCTTGTAGACGTCTTGAATTTCAACTTTTTCTTTTTTCTTACCTGGAAGAATGCATAAGATCGTCTATGGTTTTAAACTCTTAAAAAACTCAATGTAAGAAATTACTTGTCCATGCTCCTTATGTTTATGATGATTCCTATTTATGAAATACAGATTTTGCGTCCGTTTTCTTCTCAACTTACCCACTGTTTTTTAGAAAATCGGTTTTATACTAATGTACACTAAAAATTCCGAGTTTTAGATATAACATCCAAAAACATTGGAAAACATAATGATGTAATGAATACACTGCATGTAGAACGTCATTTCGAATCTATTACATTGAATTTTAAATACCTTTGCAAAGAAGCGTACAAACCAACACTTTCATCAGTAAACAACTTCTAACTCGCAGATATTGAACCTAACGTCAAAAAATTGACGTTTTGTCATCGCGATGTAAACGTGGTGAGGAGAAACGTCAGATGACGCACCGGTCTACCCTCCTGAATTTTACTATAATAAGTGCAGAAAGCTATAAATAAACCAAACTTCAAATCAAGAACTATATTCAGTGAACATCTGGTAGCAGTTCATAATTATAAAACCAAAGTGTTATTCAATAAACCGATTTATATTGGACAACCTGTGTTAGATTTATCGAAATTATTGATGTACGATTTCTACTATAACGTATTAAAACATAAATTTAATGAGAGCTTGAAACTATTATATCAAGACACTCTTTTTGAACTCAAAGGTTATGACTTCTATGACTTTATGAAGAATAATCCCGATTATTTTGATACATCAGATTATCCAAAAGACTGCGAATTATATTCTAATAAAAATAAGAAAGTAATTGGAAAATTCAAAGATGAGTTAAATGGAGAAAAAATGTTGGAATTTATAGGTTTGAGATCTAAAATGTACAGTTATAGAACAGAAAACTCAGTTGCAAAGAAGTTAAAAGGAAGAAAGCTGTGTTAAAGAAAGAAATCAGTTTTGATAACTATAAGAACTGCTTGATGAACCAAAAAGAATATTGTCATAAACAAAGTCATCAGAAGTCATAGACATGATATATTTACTGAAGAATTAAATAAGAAATCTCTGAGTTGGAAAGATGATAAACGATACTTGATACCAAATTCAACAGACAGATATGCGCATGGTCATGTACTAGCGCGCTGAAGGTGCTAACATAAATATACATCATAGATGTGCCTACAGCCTCATAATACGTAAAGTAAGATTTTAAGATACTTAAACTATGAGTTAAGAATTTTTTTTTTACTGTGAGTTAAGATACCTGAACTAACCTATAAGTTAAGATACTTGAAAATTAGTCAAATCATTTTTTTTATTTACGAGTATAATAGATTTTATTATTATACTATAAGTTAAAATAAGCCAGTATTCGTGAGTGGCATGTTTCTGTCGCGAGTAAATACTGGCATTTTAACTTCGCGTATAATACGACGTTTTATCTTATTGTTTCTTGTAGATATTAATTTAAAAAATTCAAGAAACTTGAGATTGCTGTATCAATGATATTGTACGATTGGTTGTTTATTGCAGACTGCAAACATACTGAGATGGATATTAGAAGCTCAGTATTATGTACTGTGAAATACTGATTGCTTAGGAACCAGTATTTTACTGAATGGAATATTGGTTTGTTTGTATAGGCATAAAACAATGGAACAAATGTAAGAGTACATACATCTATAAGATAAAAATATTAAACGATTTCAAAAGAGAAAATAAAAAAGATAGCACTTCCTGAAATAGGTAATTCTCTAAGGCTTATCAGTGACTAAGTTACATTACACATGAATCATGTTTATCATATTATGACAAGCGGTTTCCTGATAAGATGGGACACAATGTACTTAGACCGTTCCACAATGTCCTGAGAAGACCTTGAAATGCGGTTTGATTATATAAGCGGGTGTAATAAAACAAGATGACACGAAAGCTCTCAAACCAATCTACCTATGGTTGAACAACAAAGTAGTGCTAATATTAATATTCAAGCAGTTTTATCTGAATTAGAAGCATTGCGTCAAAAATGTGCTTCGATGGTTTGATTTTAGACCTAGGCATCAAATTGTACAAGATGTTGCAACAATGGGATGTTGAATATGGATTTTTGTGCGTTAATCTAGAGCATAAACGTAAACATGAACGTTATTACTACAAAGACGTTAACGGTTACATCGAACCAATTTTAGCAAAACTATTATGCGAGACTAACACACAAACAAAAATCAAGATCTTAATCAGTAGCTCAAATGATTAATAACATCATATTATGCAGGCTATGATGCGAAGAGACTCAGAAACAAAATTAATTCATGTAAAACAAACAATAACCTACATCAATACTGAAAGACTACCCGAACCAAATCAATATTTTTGTTTAATATAACTAGGCTTAATAGGTTAGCTTTACCAATGTTCGAATATAAACTGCTCCACAAAAGTTAAGGAAGTGTGCAGTAATTTCAATAATTATTTAAATTAATAAAATATTAAAAAATAAACCAATCATTAATTAAAAGTAAGATAAAGACAGATATCTTTTTACTTTTTTCCACAATGCTTAGAAGAATAAAATTTGTTGTAAAAATAATGAGACTTCCTTAACTTTTGTGGAGCAGTATATTTTGATCTATGATTTTCTCTATGCATCGCTATTTATTTAATCACACATCCTGTACTTGTTTTATACACTCACAAGAGTTATATTCTTAAATATGCCAACATCCTAACATTTTTTATGGAGGCATAACTGGCTGCTCTGCTGAAAGCATTATTAATTTTCTGGCGTTGTTATTTTCTCAGGTAGCGGCACACAACACGTATTTATGACATCCAGAAATTAAATGGTTAGACATGTTTTAACAATGAAAGAAAAGCTTGGTAGCACTGACAGAATTTCAATCCTAAATGTCTCACAAAAAGTACGGAACCAACACACAAAAAACCTTGCACGGCGAACTCGACTCGATTAACGACACGCTAAACCAATTCTTCGTCTTAATTTCAAGCTTAACTATGCGAAATAAGAAAATTACTTACCGAAAACCATAACCACTGTAACAACGCCAGGATGCAAGTGAAGAAAATGGCGGAGCAGGTCTCCGTTGGTGGTCGCTTGGCGTTTCTCGTTGCCGACACAGCGTTCTGTCTTGGTGGAGTTCTTTAGAAAACTCACAGATGGTGCACGTATACCAATTCGCACGGGAAGAATTATTTTCGTGTTAAATAGACAAAATAGACCTGCTTTTTCGACTCCTAGTTTTTATAACCTAATATGGTTTTTTATAACTTATTTTTTAACATTTCAATTATTCTCACATTGTTATTGCGCTGGGATAAATTTGTCTTTGAAAAATGAGCAAATGGTTATTTTTTAGAAGTATGAAAAATATGCTCTTTTTGAGGGGATTATTTCTGATTTTGGGTATTTTTTTGTTTTTGTTTTTGGAGCTGCTAGAGATAATATATGAACAATTTTGATTTTATTTTATATGGATAAATAGTTTTTTTTTTGTTGAAAACCTATCTCCCAAATATAGACCGGTTAGAAAATTAAGACTGTGAAATTTTAATTATTGTACATTTTAGGAAGTTTTGAATAATTTTTGAGTTTTTTGACAAAATGGGTAAATTGAGCGATTTTTTAGAGATTTAAAAATACTGGAATTTTGATGTTTTTTTGGGGGTTCAGGCATGCTTTTTTCGTGGGAAAAAGTTCGCCCCACAAGATGTGTCCTACAAATTTTTGGGAGATTAACAAATTTTAGATTTTAAATAAAATTATGATGATTTTTAGGTGCTTCTGCTTGATTTTTAAGTTTTTTGAAAAATAGTCAAATTGGGTGGTTTTTAAAGGTTTTTATGTGATTTTTAAGGATCATACACTCTAAAATAATCCGTTTTCCTCTTACAATGCTTGCCCCACAAGATGTGTCCTAGAAGTAACATTTTATACTCTACTTAGTTTAGTAAAAATATCAATTTTACCTTAAATTCTGCGATGTTATTCCTCAAAAAACACAATTTTGAATTTTTTCAATGTGACAGCCCTGACGTTTCTAATTTTCAAATCATGACTAATTTGGGTCAAATTTCAATCGCGCACTCTTCACGCCGATAAATTAGATTTCTTTCTTTTATTATAAATCTAACAAAAAAAGCTGGGGCCCAAATTTGTAGTTTGTGTAGTGTGATTATACCTGTGGGCTACTCTTGAGTGGAAATCTAAAATAAAAATAACAATCGCAAAAAATAGATAAACTTTATTAAAATGATAATTTAGTTTCTTATTCCCTGTTTAAGTTTATTGTTCTTTTACTGTTCCCGAAATGTCTTGAGTAAACTGTAAATTTCATTATTCTATTAGTCCTCGCATCGAAGAAAGATCCCAGCAGGACCGCCGGCGCCCACTTATTGACCAATAAGATCATAGCACAATAGTTATGACTTTCAAAACTAGATGTACAATAGTTATTTCTACAACTAGTTTTGAAAATCATACTTTTTTCACGAATCTGCAGTTCATTAACGAGGGCTCTGCAAATGAGTGAAAAAAAGGACTTTCAAAACGAATTATACACAACATTTTTTTGCATAGTGATAACCCAAAGAACCTTAAAAACCAAAAAGATATCAAAAAATGAAATACCAATTTCTATTAATCAAAATATGTGGAAATTGTAAAAATATTGTAACTTACAGTAAACGAACCAAAAAACAAGTAATAGTTCTGAAAAGAACTAATTCAAGAAAATATTGGAATAATATTGAAAAACGACAACGAAGCACAGTGGTTTATCATCTACTTAATCCGTTAAATTGACTCTTGTGGCTGAGAGGTTACCAAGGGGTGATCCTGAAAGTACCACCACTCATACAGTAATTGATATCATTTTTTAACAAAACTGTCACTGTATGGTAAGATTTGGCTACAGAATGAATGGAATTTCTTGTGCCGCTCGACAGCCCATTGCAAAGCGCGTAGCAAACGGGGTGTAAGCAAAAATAGCCCTAAATCCAGCTTATTATAAGAGCTTCAGACATGAAGGAATATGAAAAGTTTGTAAAGTAGATGAAGTTATAATGTTACCTACACAGGTGCGCCAGAACTCGCGCCCCAAAGAAAAGTTTCAAGTAAGATAAGATACCAAGGAACATGGAAAAAATGTTTAAAAAATTCTATCTGTCAAAAAATTTTGACATTTATTTTTTGACATTTGACATTTTTTCATGTCTATTTAATGATACTGATATTCTTGTAGGTATATGTTTTTTTTTCAATTATTTAGTAAAGGTACACTTCTATTCAAAAAAAAGCGTACACGTATTGAGGACTATTGTAAATGGGATATATTAATTAATCGTTTCCAAGAAAACGTATTACTGACATTTTGTATGTCAAATATGTGAAAATTGCTTTCGCTTGCTTTTTATAATTGAATTATGCCACGACAAACAATACCATTGACAAGAGCGTAGTCATTACTAATAAGTTGGAAGATGGGTGGTCTAGGTATAAAAAAACTGCTGAAGCAAATCTCTGAGAAATACATCGATGAAATCCAGCTATCAGTAACGTTTTAATTATGGTTTCTAGGTAACAACGATTAAAAGATAAGTTTACAATATTAAAATCCAGCCAAAATTGGGCTCACTACTTGTACGCTTTTTTTTTTTGAATAGAAGTGTACAAAAATTTTGCCTATAAAAGCCACAAATAACATTGAACAGAGTTACAATTTAGGATACAGCTTCATTGTTTCATCTTTTAATAGCCTGTAGTAATAAAACTTGGAAAATTATTTTTGCAACAGAAAAAAATAGAGTCAAAGTGCAAAATTTAAACTCTCATAACTTCGGAATTTTTATAGATAAATTTTTTTCCATGTTCCTGGTATCTTACCTTATATGGAGTTCTTCTCTGGGGCACGAGTTTTGGCACACCCTGTATACCTTATTTCCTTGACAACCTTTAAGAGCAGTATGGAATTTTGTTGACCTTGAAAAGTTTACAGTAGACCCTTGGCTATAAGAGTTTCATCAGTAGCACCGAAGAAAGTAATAATGTCCCTTCCTGACCATAATCTCTTGATTTACAATGCTACTACCATCTGGCAAAATAACTAGGTAGAGTGGGTATTTCATTTCATTTTTAAACGTGGAAGAAACATATCACAAATATACAGGGTTATTCATAAATATGAAGCAATATTTGAACCTCAAAAATGATAAAATGATATTAATTTAAATAATAACTCTTGTCCTATCTCTACTGATAAGAATTTTACAGTCCTCGGAATGTGGGTATGGAATTTTTTTTTTTTTGTAATAACTTTGGAACCATTTGACCAAATATTATAAAATTTAGAATACTTACTTGCGAGAACATAGCCTTTAGACTAGTAATTACGAAAACAGGATACATTTACTCAATTTCCGGTTTCAGCAGTTGCAGCTCACATTTTCTGTGTTTTTCGTTTTTTTGGCCTCTTAACACTAATTTTTTATTGCTTAAATCTAAAGAATAATCAATTTCGATTAAAAAAATGCTAACTTTTAATACCTCTAAAATGGACCGTTTTAAAGATATTTTAATTAAAGTGATTAAAGATTAAAGTTATTACAAAAAAAAAAAAAATCCATACCCACATTCCGAGGGCAGTAAAATTCTTATCAATAGAGATCGGACACGAGTTATTATAAAAATTAAGATTATTTTATAGGTCATTTTTGAGGTTTAAATATTGCTTCGTATTTATGAATAACCCTGTAGGTAGAAGATTTACTTATACATACAAAGAACATTCACGTAAAACTTAGCAATTTTATTTATTTAAATTATTTTTTTCTGGTTATAACTAGTTTAGTTTATAATTAGTTATAGTTTTGAGTACTAAAATTGTTGAAAAGGATTTTTACTGTAGCAAATGACTAAATTGTACTTCAATATAATTTTTGTTTTCTTTTCAAACTCGGGCATTTAGTACCACGTGACTGGGAACGCAGCACTCAGCCAACAAAATACAGGCTGAATATAAATTATGGAACCAAGCGGTTTTATTTTGAATTATTTGCCTCCAGAAAAATAGTAATTAATATAAATTAAAGTAATATAAAAAATGTGATCGTATTTTTCAGAACGAAATTTTGTTTTGTTTTTGAGTTATGCGATTTTTTTGTCAAAATTGCAATTTATGTGAAAAAAAATTTTTGAAAAAATTAAATATAAAGCAGATAGT